CCAAGCACACTCACATTCACACCTACGGACAATTTAGAATCACCAATTAACCTCAACATGTTTTTGGACTGTGTGGGAGGAAGATGGAGAACCCGGAGAGAACCCACGCTGCACGGGGACAACATGGAAACTCCACACAGAAAGATCCCGGGTGTCCTCACCGGGACAAGAACCAGCGACCTTCTTGCTGCGAGGCAACAGTGCTAACCACTTGCAGCCCCCCAGTTAAAATAAAGAAACTTAAAAAAAAAAAAAAAAAGAATTAAATATATCTTTAATCAGCAAAAACAAACAAAAAATATGCAGTTAAACCACATTTGAAGAAAATAATGCAACAGAAATGTTGTTTTATCTTACGTCGTCCATTGAATAATGCTCATTGTGATATTACATCATAAATTAATCAAATTATCATTTTGACCTGATGATGGCTCCAGAGGGATCACCAAAGTATTACCGGTTATTTCTGCGGTGGACATGAATATGCATAGCACAGCGGATTTCTAGAGTTGTGTGGTTGTGTGGAAGTGGGTTTGATTTTAAAAAAAAAAAAACCAAAAAACCAACAACTTTAACCCTGAGTTGAAAGGAAGCTCTTAAATTTTCACTTCCAGTAACATTTTAACTCTCAGTCTGGTGCTCTGGTAACTCTCCTTATGACCACAACCGATTCATTGGCCTGTTTTCTTTAAAACACCCAGAGTCGCTGACTTTCACTTCGCCTCCCGCTACGCCTGAATAAGCAGTCTGGCATGGCATCTCCTCATTTATACTGTACAGTCAATGTGAAAGTGTTCATCAGTGCACATTCATTTGCAGAACATTAAACTGAGAGAAGATTAAAATCCCCCAACAGTAGTATTAGTTTCATACCCAAGGCCTGTCTTTGCTTGTTTTACTGTGATTAGTCGGTAAGTCTTTTGTGAGTCCGATTATTTGATGTCAACAATTTAAAACATGTGTCGTTTCTCCATCCTCGCACACTAAACGCATGAGAAACACTCCACACTGGTATGATATGAAATAAATAAATAAATAAACAAAAAATTAACGTTTAAATAAAAGCGTTTGATACCAGACTTTTTTTTTAACATGGTGATGATTAAAGTGAACCACACCACCATTTCCGTTTAATCTAAAGTTCTAATCATACCATCATATGTATAGTATTTGCTAATATGACCCAATGAAAACCAACTAGAAAAGGTCCTATGTCGTGCAAAGAATGTAGCCGGAGAGGAACTTTTGACCCGTAATGTAACGACGACGTGTGTTTTGTGATCTGCTGCAGAAGTTTTCACAGCACTGCTTTTTATAACCCCTAAAAGTTCAAGGCAGCAGGGCGCTTGTTTTAGGTATTGCGGCTTTGACACCTTAATAGCTTTGCGAGAAGTAAAAAAATACAGAGTGTAAATGTTGACATCATCGTACAGGAAAGGTGTGAGGAAACCACTGCTCTTGTATGTATGAGGTTTGCCAAAGAAAGCCCCGGGGGAAGGATCTTGTGGGAGAATGCGCAGCACTACATACCAACATGAACATGATCCTAAAGCTGGAGTACGCTGGAGGAAGCATCACGGTGCAGGGCTGCTTTACCGCAGGCCAGATTTGATTGCTAGCGTCGAAAAGAAATTCTCATCTTTTTGAAGGTATCTTACAGAATTGGCGCTGAAGCCTGAAGAAAAATACACACCAGATATCATGAGCTGAAGAGATATTTGCTCCTGAGCATCGTGCAGGTCTAATTCGCAAATGCTGAGTGAATGGATATGCACAGCCGCTACGCTAACATGTAGACGGCGTGGAGATGTGTCTCAGTCACTTCAGTTTTCCACTTTGGTGTTTGAAAGTCATGGAGTAGAAACTGTCCACAGGGCCGTCACTCATTCACTTAAACCATCACCAGCGAATCGCATCGGTTCATCCCGTCCGATGAGATCAAAGAAACTTCATCGTCGGGTAACTCCGCCGCGCGACAGTCCTCAAATCTCATCCATTATATCCTTCACGTTGGAGTACACCGCCTCCTCTTCCTCCTTCTCCTCTTCTGCCTCACGAGGTTTTGCCTCCGCCTCCTCCTCCTCCTCCTCTTCCTCCTCCATCACCACCTCCTCCTTTTCGCCCGCCAACATTTCCCCCTCACCTCCATCGCCCTCATCTCCCCTCTCCTCTTTCACTTCTCTTTTAATTTCAGCGTATTCCGTCTCAGTGCTCTCTTTTCTCCTTGCCGCCTCTCTGGGACTCCTTCTTCTCAACCGGGAGAAGTTAATGCTGGCGTACTCCACGTCTTTTGGCCCGCTGTTGTGTTCAGGAGCTGCTTTCTCTGCTGCCACAGCTCCATTCTCAGCTCCTTCTGGGGCGTGGGTCTGATCATCTTGCTCTGCTTGACCGTCACTTACCTGTCAGGGACAAAGAAGATGATATTACTAATGCAGCAGCTGCAGTGAATCCCCGAACTGTACAAATAAAGCAAAACTACCTCCATTCTTTAAGTCGTAACCATATTCTGTTCTTTCACGCTTGAACTGCTTTCAGTTTGTGTGGGGGCTAAAAATCCGAGGGATCCTGTGCAGTACCTTAAGATCATTATTTACTGTGGCAAGAAAGCCAAAAGGGAACTCTGGCAATTAAAGAAGACGTAGTGGGGCGTCCGGATAGCTCAACGGTTTGGGTAGGCGATCCATGAACAGGGCTGTAGTCCCCAATGCAGACGTTGTGGGTTTGAGTCTGGCTCATGACCATTTACTGCAGGTCCTTCCCCACTTGTCTCCCCATATTTCCTCTCTCTCTCCACTAAAGGCTATCCATCCATCCATCCATCCATTGATCATCTATACACCGCTTAATCCTCACTGGGGACTGGAGTCTATCCCAGTTGACTCAGGGTGAAGGCAGGGGACACCTGGACAGGTAACCAGTCTATCACAGGGCTACACTTAGAGACAGACAACCAAGCAC